TTCCCATGGACTGGTGAGAAACCTAGGGAAGGTAGTCCAGATGAAATGCAGGATTAAATAAACTAGATTAAAAATTTAACCCTTGTTGGCATCATTGAACCATTCTTCCTTGGCATTTCTTGTTATGTGAGGATAATGAAACTTGGTTGATTTGGGATTTCCTGTTACTTGCAGACAAAGGCATGTAACTCCTCATCCTTCAGGTCTCCGTTTAGATTTCCCTGATCTCTCACAGCCCTGTGTATATCTCCAAGTTTATCAAGTTCCATGAAAGACCCTGTAGGGATTTTGATTTTATAGATTAATTTAGAGATACTTATTAAGTTTTACACACACAAATATGGTATGTCTCCATTAACTCATCTCTGTAATTTTCTCCATAAAGTTCTTGAAGATTTTTTTTTTAAGTTTATTCTCAGAAATCTTAATCATTTTAGTTGCCATTTTAAATGGCAGTTTTTCCTATTAAAATTACAGAGTGATTATTTTTGGCTTATAAGAATGATATTAATGTTTGTATATTGATCTTATATCCAGCAACATTGCTGAGCTTACTTATTAGTTCTAGTAATTTTTCTTCATAATTTTCTAAATAAATAATTATCACTTGGAGATACTGGACAGTGCAGATGTAGAAAATTTTTATCATCACGGAAAGTTTTACTGGACAGCATTGTTCTAGACTTTTCTAGATTTTATTTTTTGTCTATCCAGATTATCAGAGAGCTTTCTATTTCTATTTTATATGTTCTATACTACAAGGAACTGCTGGATGAACCAATTAGCACATCTATCAGGGATATTGTTTAAGATACCAGTGTATTGTTTCTGTGATCTGCTGGAGAAACACTTCTCAGATTCGTGTACTAGGACAAGTTATAGTTCTCCTGAGACTTTTTTCCCCATCATGACCAGTGTAAGTTTTGTAATTAATTGGTTTCCTCTTTTTGCTTTGTCTTCCAGAGAGGCCAAATTTATGGTTTAATTGCCTAACCTACTGGCCTATAGATTTGCATATATATATATTAATCTCTAGTTTTGTCTTCCTAGTCTTCCTGTTTTCTTGTATGAATTTGTATATTTATAAAATATAATTTTATTCTAGCTTCTGCCTTTTTATAGGCTGTCTCAAATCCTTTATGAAAGGAGGTGGGGATATATGGATAGTAATGAATAAACCCCTTCAAGATTTTAGTCCTAGGAGCCACTTACGACTGAACGTCGGTAGTGAGAAAGGGTGAATGAGCTGACAACAGCCCTAAGCTGATTAGGAGCACAACGTTTACACACGTGCTCGGCACTGCTGGCCAAATGAGGTGGCTTAGGATGTACACCTGCCAGAGAACCAGTTTATTAGTTCACATTGCTTCTGAAAGGTTTTTAATTTTCAAAATATTGTTTGATGAACTCTTACGGTAGTAGTTTGTAAAAATTTCAGGCTTCTAAGTGTTGCTAGGAAAATTTAACCAAGAGCATACGTGAATATTTTGTTCAAACTAGCGAGTAGGGTTTGAACAAAGAAAGAAGAGGGCTATTTATTTCTTTATGGTGCAGAGACCTTTTGGAGAACAAGAATCTAATTCTGGGCATTTATCCCTTCTCAGTGGAAAAATACCACTCATGCTTTTCTCTGTTTTCCATTTTATCATGTAATGTATAAGCAGGTTAACACTGTATGTCTTTATTTATGTTTTACATTTTACAACTTCCAGTGCTTCTGAAAGCACTTAAAGCAACTAACACATTTCTAGCCAAAAGGTAGGGTAGCTTTATAAAAACTTGAACCAGCTTCATGTAAAAGAAGTTGAAGGATTAAGTCCTGTCATATATCAGCATTGAGCAGATTTGGGCAATATATTTGATTTTAAATTTTCTAGTTGCTAAAATGGGAAAAAGAAACACAGAATTCTATAGTTTTAATTTACTGACAACCGGAAGCATATAAACATCTGCAGAAACCAAACATTTCCTGGAACTAAACTCGAGCAGAAATTTATCACGTGAATCTTTGTTTAAAGAACCTCGTGAAAAATATGTCCCACCACAGTTATGTAAAAGATCCAGGAGTGTAGTTCATGTGGACAAGGTTCTCTAGAAGGCAGCACAGCTGAGGAGTGTGAAGACAACTGCTCAGAAGGTGTGGTGCTGTGCACAGGGGTTGTTGTTAGGTGCTGTTGAGTCAATTTCAACTCATAGCGACCCCTGGTGGCACAACAGTTAAGCGTTCAGCTGCTAAGTGGAAGGTTGGCAGTTCGAACTCACCTGGCAACTCTGTGGGAGGAGGACCTGGCGACCTGCTCTCCTGAAGATTACAGCCTAGAAAACTCTATGGGGCAATTTTACTTTGTCCAGGGCTTCCAATGGGTTCAAAGCCCCTGTGCCCATAGTGACAGGGCTTTGAACCAGTTTGTTCCAGTTTGACCCCCTGCTGAGAATTTGCATTTTCACCCCTGATAACGCTGAATCAGAATCTACATTTTAACAGGATCCCCAGGTGATTCTTATGTATACAAATCACAACTGAATGGCCACTTCATTTGATCAGCAGTGCCAGCTTCTGAGTTAGCAGCTGAACGCTTAACTGTTGCACTACCAGGTTCGCTGTGAGTTGAAGTGGACTCAGTGGCGCCTAACAACAACAGCCCCTGTGCACAGCACCACACCTTCTGATTCTTCTGGATGTATACATAAGAATCACCTGGGATCTTGTTAAACTGTAGATTCTGATTCAGTATATCTGGGGTGGAAATGCAGATTTTCAGCAGGGGGGTCAAACTGGAACAAACTGGTACAAAGCCCTGACTGTCACTATGGGCACAGGGGCTGGGGAAGGGAACAAGCTCTGAGCATGGTATCCAGGGCCTCTGCTGTTCTGAAGCTGTGCAAGAAACGAGTTTAGAAAACTATGATTGTTTATAACACCTTTAGGTCCAGTCCGCCCCCACCCATATTCAGTGATGTCAGTGTGATTTTTATGTGGGTGCTGATTTTATTCAGCGCATCTTCAAGTCCTCTAACAAATGCCTGCAGTGAAGATGTTTTATTCTGATGGTTAATGTGCAACTTTTACGCTTTGAAGGAAGCAGACAACATTTTCCATGGAACTTTAAGGGCTGGGCTTACCTGTTTACCCATAAAGAAGTCCAGTTCAATTCAGAGCGAACAACAACAGTAGAATCTTTATTTTTTCAAAGAGCTCGCGTGTGTTAATATAAGTTATTATAACAGAAAGTAATTTGAGACTTCAGAATTTATGCAACATGAAGAAACAGCTTTCACCCGAGCTATCTGAGGGGCAAATATAACAAACTATCCACCTTTTCCATGAAATCCTAAACTGAAAAACTTCAGTATGGGCATCATATTGCAGTTTCTTTTAAGAATCCTTGTATCCCTGGGCCTACTAGGGTAAGTTAACTGAAAAATCGAAAACAACTTAGCCTGTCCTATGGGTTTAAGATTGATCTTTACATGATTACCAGATAACAACAGTTTTTAGTATAGGTGTTAATTATGAGTTACTTCTTCTGGTAAAAACTGACCAATAATTTCAGCTACTTAAGATTGAGTCATACTTACCCAGCATGTAAGAAGATGTGCTGCTGGGGATTTAGGGAACATCTTGGATGGTTTTGGAGGTGGATAATGCATACCTACCATACAAGGTTGTTACAAGGATTAAATATGATAATGTGGATAAAATTCCTGGCACATAGTAGGTACTGAATAAATGTTCTGCATTCTCTCAGATGTTATTGATGAGGTAGGGCCATACATAAAGTTTTTCTAGAATTTTTTTTCATTATAAATATGTATGTAACAAAGCATTTGCCATTTTAACATTCTTCACACGGGCAGCTCAGTGATGTTATGTTCATCCTGTCGTTCAGCCGTCACCCTGATCCGGTCCCATACTAGGTCATTGTTGGTTGAGTGCCGTTGGGTCGATTCCAACTCATAGTGACCCCATGTGACAGAGTAGAACTGCCGCATAGGGTTTTCTTGGCTGTAATCTTAACATGAGATCTTTCTCCCACAGTGCCGCTAGGTGGGTTCGAACCACCAGCCTCTCAGAACCAAACGCTTAACCATCATGCCACAAGGGCTCCATATTAGGTCATGCAGATACATAATTTTAGGCATGTTGGGATCCATCCCTCATTGACGCTGTTAAAAATAATTGGTATAGAAAATGTTTCCTGTCTGATTTTAACAGGTTTTTTTTTTTTTAATTGACTTAAGAAAAACACTAACAACATAAGTTGGAAGTGTTATAGTTCCTCTTCATTAAATTATAGCTTGATAATCATTCAGGAAACATAGTGCAAATAGCTTTGAGTTTCTTGGTGATAAGAAACAAGGTTTAGCAGTGATCAAGAGCAGAATAATTGTTTCAGAATCCGGCCTGCCCCAGTTTTATCTGTGAAGTGTAGTTTAGCACACATAAAGATATGCGTTGATCAGATATTCTGAGTAGAGTCCACTGAGAACCAAGCAGAGACTTGGAGTCTAGGATTAGAAATAGAACTATGTGTGAGCTGGTTCAAGCCTGTGAATGTCATGGAGCTCTTGGAAGGAGAGATTGCTCATGAAAAGGAAGTCAGAAACACTTGGCTATCAGCTGAGAAATGCCTTTGGGAGAGTGTCTTGGTTTGGATGAGAAAATGTATAGTTAAAGGTGGAGGATCTCTACCAGTTGAAGGATCAGACTGGTAAAAAAGTGATCAAGTTACAGCACAGGATGTGTATTTTATTGCGCCGATTTAAGCTTCTCCCCAGAGAGATTTCTTAAAACAGGAAGGCAGTTGTAATACCTGGTATTGCTAATATCAGGGCACACAACTACAGGGCTATGAATTAACTTGCTCTGAGCCCTCACTAAAAAAAAAAAAAAAAAAAACGGAAATAGGTTATTCCCTATCTAGACAATCCACTTGAGAGTTGTATCTTGGTCTGTAACTCCAGTTTCCTTTCTCACAGGCATTTTATTAAATCTCCAGGGTTAGAAAAATTGGAATATTTTGCCATCTGGAGTTTCTCTGCCTCGCTAATCTAAGCTCCCACCTGCCAGTTCACGGAGATGATTGACAAGACCCAGGAATGTCTGAGTAAGTAGATGTTGCTGTGTGTTTCATTTTACAGCTTTAAAAAAAGTGTAAAAAAAAAAAAATAGCGGTTTCAAAGTATTATGCGTTTTAATTGGGTTCTTTAAATTTTGCTATTGAATAATGGTGGCAATTATGATAATTCTCATAAGTGAATATTTATAAATAATGGGATTCTGGAAGAAATTAATCTCCTGATGATTAAGGAAAAAAAAAAGTGCTAATGAAAACATTACCTTGCATAATGCTTTAGCTTTGTAGGAACATAGTGAGGGTTTAAACGCACGTATTAAAAATGTTAGAGCATTATCTTCAGTGCTTTCTTTCCCCTTTATGTTCTGAATTGGAAAAATATCATAAGACAACTACCAAGCATTTCTGAAATGCAGCTCTATCTATACAAAAACAGTCTTTTTAACGCAGGACACATTTTGGTTAATTGGAAATCAATTCTGATTTGTTTAGTAATAGAATTTTAATAGTTCTATTTGAAAATAATGGCCCACTCCCCAATGTAGGTAAGATCACAGAATCTCTGTGGATTTAACTTCGTTTTTTAATCAAAGAGAATAGGGAAGAAGGGCATTTGTTCTTTCTAATCAGAACATCTGAATGAAATTGAAAGAGTTGAGTCAGTTATCTTGATATAATTACTTCTCTAAATGAAAGATGCTACTCCTCTTGAAATACTCATTAAAACTGATTTGACAGAACTAGGAAGCTACGAGGTTATACCAGGGCCTTGTTTTGGAATATTAAGTTAAACACAATGAGTAAATGCACAACATGTTCCCCCACCACAGTGTCGTTTTTGTTAGGTGGTGGTGGTGATAGGTGCCATTGAGTCTGTTCTGATTCATAGCAACCCCATGTACAACCGAGCAAAATGCTGCCCAGTCCTGTGCCATCCTCACATCGGTGCTGTGCTGGAGCCCATTGTTGCAGCCACTGTGTCAGTTCATCTCATTGAGGGTCTTCCTCTTTTTCGCTGACCCTCTACTTTACCAACCATGATGTCCTTCTTCAGGGACTGATCCCTCCTGATAACATGTCCAAAGTACGTGAAATCAAGTCTTGCCATCCTTGCTTCTAATGAGCATTCTGGCTGTACTTCTTCCAAGATAGATTTGTTGGTTCTTCTGGAAGTCCGTGGTGTATTCAGTGTTCTTCACCAACAGTAGTTTGATTTTGGCCTATATCTGTACTGTCCAATATGGTAGCCACTGGCTACATGTAGCTATTAGCACTTGAGACATACCACATTTCAAAATAGTATGAAAAAAAGACTAAAATATTTATGATTTCTGTATAAATTACGACTTGAAATGATAATATTTTGAATGTAGTGGGTTAAATAAATTATAGCTAAAATTATTTTAATCTATTTTCTTCTACTTTTTTAATGTGACTGCTAAAAGTTTTTAAATTACTTGTGGCTTACATTATATTTCTCTTGGACAGAGCTGGTCTATGTCATCACACACAATTAGCATTCTTGGTCATCCGCTACTCCGCATTCTGTAGTCCTAAAACCTTCTGAGTCTGGATAGATTCATGTAGATCTGCACTGTTTTAGGAATATGATCCTTTGACTCGTCAGGTATTTATTGTGTGCTTACCATGTGCTGTACAGTGGGCACTGGTGACAGAGAAGTGAACAAAACGAACAAACCTCCCTGACTTCATGGCATTAACATTCTAGTGGAGAAAAAACAGATTAAAAACAAATAATTAAAATATATAGTGTATAAGAAGGTAATAAGTGCTATGGAGAAGTATAAGGCAGGCAAGAGGACTACACCAAAAGAAACCAAACCCATTGCTGTCGAGTTGATTCCAACTCAGAGCAACCCTATAGGACAGAGTAGAACTGTTCCATAGGGGACTCTGGGGGAGTTCAATTATAAATAGGGTACTCAGGAAAGGCCTCACCGAAAAGGTGATATTTGAGCGAAGAGTTGAAGGAAGTGTGAGGGAGAGAGCCCTGTAGCTGTCTGGGGGAAGAATGTTCTAGGCAGAGGGAACAACAAATGCAAAGGCCCTTAGGCAGGAGCACCTGACTTGTTTGAAAGGCAGGTGACTGGAGTGAATGAAGGGAGAAGAGATGAATGGTAATGGGTGGTCATAGCATATGAGCAGTGGTTACTAAGGGTTTTTGGGTTTTTGTTTTGTTTTTTAGTTGTGCTTTAGATGAAAGTTTACAGAGCAAATTGGTTTCTCATTAAACAATTAATACAGAAATTGTTTTGTGACATTGGTTGCCAATCCTGCGATGTGTGAGCATTCTCACCTTCTCCCCCCCAGGTTCCCTGTTTCCATCCATCCATTTTTCCTGTCCCTTCCTACTTTCTCATCTTTGCTTTTTGGGCAAATGTGCCCATTTAGTCTTACATACATTATTGAACTATGAATTGTTATTGTTTGTTTTATTAAAAAAAAAAAAAAAACCATTTCCATCTAGTCAGTTCCAACTCATAGCAACTCTATAGGACAGAGTAGAACTGCCCCATAGGGATTCTAAGGAGTGGCTGGTGGATTCGAACTGCCAACGTTTTGGTTAGCAGCCAAACTCTTAATCACTGCACCACCAGGGCTCCATTATTTGTTTTATAGACCTGTCTAATCTTTGGCCAAATGGTGAACTTCTTTGGGAGTGACTTCAGTTATGAGTCAAAGGGCATCCAGGGGCCATACTCTCAGGGTTTCTCCAGTCTCTGTCAGACCAGTAAGTCTGGTCCTTTTCATGAATGTATGAATTTGAATTTTGTTCTACATTTTAATCCTGCTCTGTCCGGGACACTCTGTTGTGATCCCTGTCAGTAGCCAGGCACCATCTAGTTTTTCTGGGCTCAGGCTCGTGGAGACTGTGGTACTTGTGGTGCATTAGTCCTCTGGACTAATATTTCTCATGTGTCTTTGGTTTTCTTCATTCTCCTTTGCTCTGGACAGATTGGAACCAGTAGACGTATCTTAGATGGCCTCTTGCAGACTTTTAAGACCCCAGACACTACTCACCAAAGTCAAATGTGGAACATTTTCTTTATAAGTTATGTTATACCAATTGAACTAGATGTCCCCCGAGACCATGGTCCCCAGCCCTCAACCCAGTAACTTGGTCTGTCAGGGAGTGGATGTGTCTATGAAGCTTCTAGGACTTTGCCTTGGCCAAGTTGTGCTGACTTCCCCTGTATTGTGTACTGTCTTTCCCTTCACCAAAGTTAACACTTAACTTTTATTTAGTTAGTGTTCTTCCCTCCCCACTCCCCACCTCGTAACCATCAAAGATTATTTCTTTCTACGTGTAGACCTTTCCTTAAGTTTTTATAATAGTGGTCTCATACAGTATTTGTCCTTTTGTGATTGGCTTATTTCACTCAGCATAATGCCCTCCAGATTCATCCGTGATGTGAGATGTTTTGCAGATTCATCATTGTTATTTATCATTGTGTAGTATTCCATTGTGTGTATGTACCATAATTTGTTTATCCATTCATCTGTTGGTGGGCACTTAGGTTGTTTCCAATCTTTTTGCTATTGTGAATAATGCTGCAGTGAACATGGGTGTGCATATGTCTATTTGTGTGATGGCTCTTATTTATCTGGGATGTATTCCTAGGAGTGAGATTGCTGGATCATGTAGTATTTCTATTTCTGGCTTTTTAAGGAGGCACCGTATCATTTTCCATAGTGGTTATACCATTTTACATTCCTACCATCAGTGGATAAGAGTTCCATTCTCCCCACAACTTCTCCAACATTTGTTATTTTCTGTTTTTTTTTTATTAGTACCAGTAATATCAGGGTGAGATGGTATCTTGTTGCAGTTTTGATTTGCATTTCTCTGATAGCTAGTGATCACGAGCATTTCCTCATATGTCTGTTAGCCACCTGAATGTCTTCTTTAGTGAAATATCTGTTCATATCCTTTGCCCATTTTTAAGTGGATTATTTTTCTTTTTGTTGTCAAGGTGTTGGATTTTAGAGATTAGACTTTGTCAGATAGATCATAGACAAAAGTTTTTCCAAGTCCATAGGTTCTCTTTTTACTCTTTTGGTGCAGTCTTTTGATGTGCCTAAGTATAATTGTTAGAAGATCCCAGTTAACCAATTTATCTTCTGGCGTTTGTATATCGTTAGTTATGATTTGTGTTCTATTTACACCCTAACATTGACCCCATTTTTTCTTCCACAATCTTTAGGTCTTTGATCCATTTTGAATTAACTCTTGTGTATAGTGTGAAGTATGGGTCCTGTTTCATTTTTTTGTAGATGGCCATCCAGTTTTGCCAGCACCATTTGTTGAAAAGACTGTCTTTTCCCCATTTAATGGACTTTGGGCCTTTGTCGAAGATCAAGTAACCATAGGTGGATGGATTTACATCTGGGTTCTCGATTCTGTTCCATTGGTCAATGTTCCTGTTGTTGTACCAGTACCAGGTTGTTTTGACTACCGTAACTGTATAGTAGGTTCTGAGGCTTCCTACTTTGTTCTTGTTCGGTAGTGCTTCACTTCTCTGGGGCCTCTTTCCTTTCCATATAAAGTTAATGACTAGTTTTTCCATCTCATGAAAGAATGCTGTTGGTATTTTGATAGGGATTGCATTATATCTGTAGATTGCTTTGGGTAGGATTGACATTTTCACAATGTTGAGTCTTCCTATCCATGAACATGGTATATTTTTCCATTTATGTAGGTGCCTTTTGGCTTCTTGCTGTGGTGTTTTGTAGTTTTCTTTGTATAGGACTTTGGTGTCCCTGGTTAGATTTATTCCTAAGTATTTTATTTTTTTTAGGGGCTATTATAATTGGTATTGTTTTCTTGATTTCCTTTTTGTAGTTCTCTTTATTGGTGTATAGGAATCCAACTGGTATTTATATGTTTATTTTATATCTTGCTACTCTGCTGAATCTTTCTATTAGTTCCAGTAGTTTTCTTGTAGAGTCTTTAGGGCTCTGTATGTATAGTATCATATCATCTGCGAATAGGGATAGTTTTACTTCTTCCTTACCAGTTTGGATGCCCTTTATTTCTTATTTCTTGCCTTATTGCTCTAACTAGGACTTCCAGCACATTGTTGAATAGGAGTGATGATAAAGGGCATCCTTGTTTTGTTCCTGTTCTCAAGGGGAAGGCTTTCAGCCTCTCTCCATGGAGAATGATGTTGGCTGTTGGTTTTACGTAGATGCCCTTTATTATGTTGAGGAATTTACCTTCTATTCCTATTTTATTGAGGGTTTTTATCAGGAATGGATAATGGGACTTTATCGAATGTGTGGTTTTTTTTTTTTAATAATTTATTTTGGTTTTGTTGTTGGGAATACACAACAGAACATTTCTCCATGTACAATTTAGTAACATTGATTACATTCTTCGAGTTGTGCAACCATTCTCATCCTCCGGTTCCAAGTTGTTCCTCCCCCATTAACATAAACTCACTACCCTCTAAGGTTCCTGTAGGATTTTGGTTTTGAGAGAGATGAAAAGGAATCGGTTTTTGAAGAGAGGAATGATACAGTCTTCCTGTTGATGCTGCTGTGATTAGAATTTTCTGAGGTGGGGGAATGTGCAGGGTGGAAGCAGAGTTTGATCCAAGTCTATTGCAGTGACCCAGGAGAGAGCTGATGGTGCCTTAGACCATAAAGGGAGGTGGTGAGAAGTGACGGACTCTCAGTCATATGTTGTTGTGAGATTGGATATGGGATATGAGAGGAGTCGGGATGATTCCAGAATTTTCCACCTGAACAACTGAAGAATGGAGTTGCCTTTTGCTGAGATGGGCAAGATTTGTAGGAGAAGCAGATTTGGGGCAGAACCAGGAGCTTAGTCTGGGACACATTAAGTTTGAGATGCTTCTTTAGACATCTACATGGTAATGTCCAGTAGGCAGAGTCTGAACTTCAGTGAGAGGTTAGGTTACAAATGCAGATTTGAAGTCATCACTATCTAACTGTTTTGTAAAGCCATAAGAGGGGTTGAAATTGCCAAGGGAGTGAGAGTTGAGAGGAAAGAGGAGAGGTCTAGGACCAGAGCTCTGGATCACGCTAATAATTTAGAGGTCAGGAGATGAGATGGCATCAGCAAGGGAGGTTGAGGAACAACGATTGGGTGGAATATGTGGTATTCTAGACACAAGGGAAGAAAGTGTTTCAGGGAAGCAGGAGTAGCTGGGCTTCTCAGATGCTGCTGATGGGTTAGGTAAGATGTGAGCTAGAAATGGGGCATTGGATTTAGCAAAGAGATGGTCATGAGTGATCTTGACGAGTGATTTCAGTGGAATGGTGAGAACAAAGCTAGATTGGAATAGCATCAAGAGAAAATTGGAGGAAATGAATTAATGACCATCTTTGGAGGAACCGTGGAGTCAAGATGGGCTAAGGAAGTTTTTGGTTATAGTTTATTTTTTTAAGATGAGAGAAATTATAACATGTCTCTACCTATGCATGTATTAGAGAGGTTTTCTAATTTCTGAAATTGTCCACCAGATTTGGGACATTTAAGACCACCACTTTGTGTATATGTGTGTGTTGGTTAGTATTCCCTCCTAAGAGGATTTCATAGAATTGTGTTTTATAATGAGAGAAAGGGGTGTGTGTGTGTGTGTGTGTGTGTGTGTGTGTGTGAGGGGTGGGGGTGGGGGTGAATGAGAATGTGTGTGTGTGTGGAGGCTGACACTGATTGTATTAAAGGTTGCTTTTACAATTGGTACGAAATTTGGCTTCATTTCTAGCTCAGTGTCTGCATTCACACTCAGATAACTATTATTTTTAAGACAGCAAATGTTAAAACTAGATCTGTTTACTTTAATGTGTTGATAAGGCTATAAAGCTAGTGTTTGGGGACTAATTTAATTTATTTTCCTTACTTTTAAGGAGGTTACCAAAGAATTTGAAGAAATTGAGGCAGTGACATGCCCAAGGCCACAAAATGAAACATTGCCAGAGTAGCTGGATTTTGGATCTGATTTACTGGCTATGTGGAACACTTAATCCCTCTGATTTCAGTTCCAACAGGTATAAAATGAGGATAATACTTGCTCTACCTAGGATGTGAAGTTTTTATGAGGATCACACGAGAAAGTAAGTGAAAGAGCTTATTAGTCAGCTATAACGCATTCTGTAATTATGAAGTAATGGTGTTAAAAGTAAGTTACGCTTGAGGATTTTGTGACAGTATTTGGAATAACTGGAGAAAAGGTAAAATGTGACAGAATCTGGGTTGAAAATAATTATAATACATAATCATACTAATAGAATCTGCAAGAATTTGCTTTTTTGCCTGTGTCATGCTTTATTAATTACATCACAGACATTATCATATTGGGGCCATCATAGAGTTTTGTAGTCAGGAACCGTGGCTGACGACCAACTAGGCAACCAGTTTATGCCATAGGAGCCTCAAAATTACTGAACATGTGGCTGTTTTGGTTGTTGTTAGATGCCCTCGAGTTCGTTCTGACTCATAGCAACCCTGTGTACAGCAGAATGAAACACTGTCTGGTCCTGTGCCATCCTCACAATAGTTAGTTACTATGTTTGAGCCCATTGTTGCAGCCACTGTGTCAATACATCTTGTTGAGGGTGTTGCTCTTTTTCGCTGACCCTCTGCTTTACCAAGCATGATGTTCTTCTTCAGGGACTGGTCCCTCCGAATAACACGTCCAGAGTACATGAGACAAAGTCTTGCCCTCCTTGCTGCTAAGGAGCATTCTGCTGTACTTCTTCCAAGACAGATTTGTTCGTTCTTCTGGCAGTCTGTGGTATATTCAGTATTCTTCACCTACCCCATAATTCAAAGACATCAGTTCTTCTTCGGTCTTTCTTATTCATTGTCCAGCTTTCACATGTATATGAGGCAATTGAAAATATCATGTCTTGGGTCAGGCGCACTTAGTCCTCAAGGTGACACCTTTGCTTTTCAACACTTTAAAGAGGTCTTTTGCAGCAGATTTACCCAGCGCAATACGTCTTTTGATCTCTTGACAGCTGCTTGCTTCCATGGGCGTTGATTGTGGATCCAAGTAAAATAAAATCCTTGACAACGTCAGTCTTTTCTCCGTTTATCATGATGTAGCTTATTGGTCCAGATGTAAGAATCTTTTTTTTTTATATATGTTGAGGTGTAACACATACTGAATGCTATAGTCTTTGATCTTCATCAGTAAGTGCTTCAAGTCCTCTTCACTTTCAGCAAGCAAGGTTGTGTCATCTGCCTATTACAGGCTGTTAATGAGTCTTTCTCCAACCCTGATGCCCCATTCTTTTTTATATAGTCCAGCCTCTTGGATTATTTGCTCAGCATACACATTGAATAAGTATGATGAAAGGATACAACCCTGATGCACACCTTTCCTGATTTTAAACCATGCAGTATCCCCATGTCCTGTTATGACTGCCTCTTGGTGTATATACAGGTTCCACATGAGCACAATTAGGTGTTCTAGAATTTCCATTCTTTGCAGTGTTATCCATAATTTGTTACGATCCACACAGTCAGATGCCTTTGCATAGTCAGTAAAACACAGGTAAACATCTTTCTGGTATTCTCTACATTCAGCCAAGATCCATCTGCCATCAACAGTGATAATACCCCTTATTCCATATCCTCTATTGAATCCAGGTTGAATTTCTGACAGTTCTCAGTTGATGTACTACTGCAACTATTTTTTAATTATCTTCAGCAGAATTTTAGTTGTGTGTAATATTAATGATATTGTTCAGTAATTTCTGGGTTCTTTTGGATCACCTTTCTTTGCAATGGGCACAAATATGAATCTCTTCCAGACGGTTGCCCAAGTAACTGTCTTCCAAATTTCTTGGCATAGACAAGTGAGCACTTACAGCATTGCATCTGTTTGTTGAAACATCTCAATTGGTATTTCGTCAATTTCTGAAGCCTTACATTTTTCCAGTGCTTTCAGTGCGGCTTTGACTTCCTCCTTCAGTACCATTGGTTCTTGATCGTATGCTACTTCCCCAAATAGATGAATACCACCCAGTTCTCTTTGGTACAGTGACTTTGTGTATTTCTTCCATCTTCTTTTGATGTTTCTTTTGATGCCTACGTCATTCATTATTTTGCCCATAAAATTCTTCAGTATTACAACTTGATGCTTGAATTTTTTCTTCAATTCTTTCAGCTTGAGAAATTTTGAGTATGTTCTTCCCTTTTGGTTTTCTAACTCCAGCTCTTTGCACATTTCATTACAATACTTTCCTTTATCTTCTCAAGTCACCCTTTGAAATCTTCTGTTCACCTCTTTTACTTCATCATTTTTTCCATTTACTTTAGCTACTCTGTGTTCAAGAGCAAGTTTCAGAGTCTCTTCTGACATCCACTTTGGTCCTTTCTTTCTTTCTTGTCTTTTTAATGACCTTTTACTCTCTTCATGTATGAGGTCCTTGATATCATTCCACAACTTGTTTGGTCTTCAGTCATTAGTGTTCAGTGCATCAAATCTATGGTTAAGATGGTCTCTAAATTCAGGTGGGATGTACTCAAGGTCGTACTTAGGCTCTTGTGGACCTGTTTTAATTATCCTCATCTTCAACTTGAACTTGCATGGGAACAATTGATAGTCTGTTCCACAGTCAGCCCTTGGCCTTGTTCTGACTGATGATATTGAACTTCTCCATTTTGGTACTTTAATATAATGTTAGTTTGCTGGCACTGTGTGGAAGAGCCACTCTCTTAACGGAAAATATTCAAGCTGTGATGGTAAATTTTATATCAGACTTGGAGAGCATTTCTGTATTTGCTACCTAAAGTGGACTTATAGTCATACTTTATTTTTGTTTAAGAAATTGTTATAGGACATTGAGAAATTAAAAATGGATAGCTAAGGTCACTGCCATTAATGGTGATGTAAGAGGTCAGGTGATTCTCAATAAAACAAGTATAAAACTTGACAGTATTGTAAAATTCAATCATTTATAGGCACTGAATATCAACCAAAAAGGCAGACACTAAATTGAAAGATGTAATTGAGAAGCTGGAGCTTTCGGTATGAAGATTGAGAGTTTGTAGCCTTCTTTCTGGGACTTCTTCTATCCTCCTCCCGCCAATCCCTTATCTCAGTTGATAAGAACTATAGTTTTACAGCTTGTGGTTTTACTAGAAGTGATAGTAGCCTCAATTTGAAGTGGAGGAGGTGGTGGGGGGTGTGTGCAAACCCACAGCTTTGCTGGCTAAAAGTGACATGCTCAATCCATAGTGGAGGGGGAAACCCACAGCTTTGCTACCTTGAGGTTGTGGTTCTAGTTTGGGGCCACCAGCCAGAATTTTAACAGGGAGATCCTAGAAATGAGAGAGCCATGAAAGGACTGAGATCAGCTCTCCATACATCGGTGGCTGACTGCTAAAGTTTGCAGGACTGGGGGGTACTCAAGAAAGCCCATCGAACCTCCAACCTTTTGATTAGCAGCCAAGCACGTTAACCATTTACACCACCCAGGGACTCCATGCAAATATATGAGTGAACATAAAAAAGCTGTATATATTTTGTTTGTTTTTTTCTTCTGATTAAAAAAAAGTTTGTTTAAAACAAGTTTAACACTGTATTGTTGGATTTATGACATACGTAGATGTAATATACATGACAACAGCACAAAGGAGAAGGCAGGACATGGAGCTATACTGGTATACAGTTTCTGCTTTTACCAGAATGAAGTTAGTACTAACCTGAAATAGATTGTGATAAGTTAAAGATGCATATTATAATCCCTCTAGAGAAACTGCCAAAACAACAATAACCAACCAAACAAGCAAGAAACCTGCAAAAATACAGCAAAAAAAAAATCAACAGAGGAAATAAAATGGTACTTCTTCTGTCTTGGTCATCTAGTGCTGCTATAACAGAAATACCACAAGTGAATGGTTTTTAAGAAGGAGAAGTTTATTCTCTCAGAGTCCAGTAGGCTAGTCGTCTGAATTCAAGGCGCTGGCTCTAGGGGAAGGCTTTCTCTCTCTGTTGGCTTTGGAGGAAGATCCTTGTCATCAGTCTTCCCTGCGTCTGGGAGCATCTCAGCGCAGGAACCTCAGGGCCGAAGGATGCACTCTGCTCCTGGCACTGCTTTCTTGATGGTATGAGGCGCCCCTGACCCTCTGCTTGCTTTTCTCTTTTATATCTCAAAAGAGATTGGCTTAAGACACTATCCAATCTTGTAGACCTCAACAGTGTAACTGCCACTAATCCATCTTACTACGTTATAGTGATAGAATTTACAACACACAGGGAAATCAAAATGGTAGACGATAATACAATACTGGGAATTCATGACCTAGCCAAGTTGACAGGTATTTTGGGGGGACACAATTCAATCTATGACAAACATCATTGGAAGACAGTTTGGCAGTTTGTTCTAAAGTTAAGCATACACTTAACATATGACCCAGGAATTTTATGCTGTCAGGAGAAATGGTAGCATATATCCAGACCTTTGTTCACACAGTGCTCACAGCAGATTTCTTTGTGATTTGCAATGTAATTATGGTATATTCATACAGTGGAGTGCTACCCAGCAATGAAAAATGAATGGACTACTGATATACGCAGCAGTGTGCATGGCTCTTTAATAACGCTGAATGAAAGAAGCCAGACCCTCCCTCTAAAAAAGAGTGCAGACTGTATGATTCCATTTATGTGAAATTCTAGAAAACTCAAACTAATACATAGTGACAGAGGGCAGATCAGTAGTTGCCTGAGGATGGCAAGGGCGGGGGGACTCCAAAAGGAAGGACACAGTGAAAATTTAGGAGGTGATGTACGTGTTCATTATCTTCATTTATGTGTGTTGGTTTCATGGGTATATACACATGTCAGAACTTACCAAATTATATACTTCAAATATGTGCAGTTTATTGGATGTTAATTATATGCCTCAATAAAGTTAAAACAAAATTGTGCCCAACTGAAGACCAAACAAATGCTCATAGCAGACAACAACTGCAAACAGTACAATCCATCATCAGTGGATAAACTAAATGTGGTATATCCCTACAGTTGACTGTTATTCAGCCATAAGGGGCTAGGGATTGGCGGGTGGGGAGAAAGGCTGGTACCTAACCTGCCTTAGCAGGAAGGAAGGGCATATACAGAGAGGGATTGGAGAATGCCTTGGAGGGGGAGATGGAAGAGAGCTGAGTTTTGAAGGTTGAATAGGACTTGGCTGTTATCCAGATAGGGGAGAAACTGTGGGGACTTCATCTAAAGCTGTGGTATTGGGTTTAAAGCAGAGAGAATAGAGTTAAGAGGTTAGTAAGTGGGAGTGACTGGACCTTGTGACTGGTGGAATATGGAGAATATAGGAGAAAAAGGAGTCAAGGATGTAGTGTATGTTTTTGCCTTGGCCATCTCAGCAAATGGTGGTATCATTCATTGAGGCAGGGAATACAGGATGCTCAGGAGTTTTGTCCGTTTTGCTCATTGATTTGTGAAACCAAGAACTCATTTCGGAGGTTTTGTCAGGGAAGTAACAGCTATTTGCATACCCTTGGTTGGAATGGAAAGATGATCCTCTTTAACCCATTGTCCAGAT